TGACCCCCCCCCCACAACATTTGTCTGTCACTCTTCTTCTGATATCTACTTAGAACAAGATCTATCTCTACGGGAACATAACTTATAAATCATTTGAAGATAGATGTGTATTGGTGTGAGTACGCGCGCACATACGAACAAACAGACACACACACGTGCATATGTATGCTTAGATACATACATTCCTGTGTGTGTATGTGTGTGTGTCTTTGTGTTTGTAGGAGTGTGTGTGTTTGTGTGTCTTTGTGTTTGTGTATGTGTGTAGGTGTATCTTTGTGTTTGTGTGTGTGTGTGTGTGTGTGTGTGTAGGTGTAGTTGTGTCTGTGTGTGTGTGCTTGTGTGTCTTTGTGTTTGTGTGTGTGTGTGTTTGTGTGCCTTTGTGTCTGTGTGTGTGCGTGTACGTATGTGTATGTGTATATGTGTGTCCGTGACGCCAAACAACGATCAGATAAAAGCAAAAAAAAGCAAAAGGCAAACTAGTACAGCCTTGGCCACCTATTCCGCCGTGTCTTCAGTTCGTCGCCGCATATTTCCCGAAGCACTTTGGCTTATCTTCGTTATCAGTCCAAACATCAGCTTCGCCTTCGTAAACGAGGAGAGATAACGAAGTGACTTCTCGTGCTCGCAGATGTCGCTTCGTCGCCCAATTCGCTTTCGCTTGAGTGAAGAGCCTCCGACGAGCGCTGGCCGTATATCTTTTTTTGTTTTTTGTCCTTGTTTTTTTTTTGCTTCTTATCTTTTATATTGTTTTTTATCCTTGTTGTTCTTAAAAAAAATCTTATCTTTTATGTTTTTATTGTATTTTCTATGATTATTGTCTTTTTTCTTAGATTTACTCTGTTTTTCTCTTACTTTCTTTTTTGAACTTTTTTTATTTTCTTGAACCATTTGATTTTTTACTTTGATTTGACTTTTTTTGTTTTTCTTTCTTTTTTTTACTTACACTTATCTCCTTTCTTTCTTTCTTTTTTTTTTTTTACCTTTTTTTAAGATTTATCTTTTTTGATACTTTTATTCCTTTTTTTCTCTGCTTGGAGTCACTCGAGCGAAAAGTAAAAATCGCCAATTGACGCCTTAATTGCGTTGGGCGTAGCCAGGTGGAATCGGCCTCATTAAGGTCGGTCGTGACAGGTGGATCCGTTCGGCGTAGATTCCGATTCGCGACGAACGATCGCTGGAATGGCGAGGAAGAAAAGGAGAAAAAAGGCGATGTTTATTATTATTTTTTTTTTGTCTTCTTCGTAATTTCTGATTTTTTTTTTTTTGGGGGGGGGGGGGGGAGGCAATTTTGTTGCTGATCAAATCGGTGTGCTTTTTAAGGCAGAGTGAGTGCTGTTTTTTATCTTTATTTATATAACTTTTTTTTTCTTTAGTTAGAGATAAATAGTTAAAAGTCGTGAGTATTCCTGATGCTTATGGTTCCCTTCCCGCCTCCTCCAGAAGCCACCCGAGAGCCCCAAGCGACGCGCCCAGCCGTTGATGCCCTTCTAGCCGGCCACGCCCCCGTCTCCCTCGCGCCGCCCTCCGCCACCATGGGCCAGGTGTTCCTCCGCCGCACGACGGCGGCGCTGCTGTTCCTGATCGCCGCGCTCTCCATCGCCTGCGTGGCGCTGCTCGTGCTCCTGCTGGCGCCCGACTGGAGGGACGCGGGCGGCCACGCGTCGGGCGGCGCCGGCCCGACCGCCTCCACCGCCGGCGCGTCCAGCCTGCGCCCCCGCCCCTCCGGCACGCCCGCGCCCCGCCGCGCCACCACGCCGCGCCCCCGCCGGCGACCTCGCCCTCCGCCACGACGCAGGCGCCGAAGGAGCCGTGGGAGCGCGAGTACCGCATCCCGCGGGCGACGCTGCCGCACCACTACGACCTGTTCCTGCACCCCGACCTGCAGAGCGGGCGGTTCTCGGGGCGCGTGGCCATCCTGGTGGGCGTGACGGCGCCCATGGACTTCCTGGTGGCGCACGTCAAGCAGATGAACGTGACCAAGACGGACCTGGTGGACGCCGCCACGGGCGACCGCCTGGCCCTCCGCGGCGCCTTCGAGTACCAGCCCAACCAGTTCTGGGTGGTGCGCCCGAGGGCCTCCCTGCGCCCCGGGAACTACACGCTCCACCTCGAGTTCGAGGGCGCGCTCGACGGCTCCATCGTCGGCCTCTACAGGAGCGTCTACACCAACAAGGACGGCGAGAAGAGGTGAGTCTCTTGGTCTTTCCTAACATTAAAAAAAAAAAAAAAAGAAAAGAAAAGTTGAAAAGAAAACAAAAACAAAAAAACAAAAACAAACAAATAAAAAAACAAAACAAAAGCCTGAACAAAATGAAAACAAGTAAACAAACAAACAAAAAATAAAAACAAGAAACAAAACAAAAGATCGAAAAAAAGAAAACCAAAAACAAAAGTCTACGTCCCACACAATATATCACAAAGAGGATTTCGTTCTCATTCCGTATTACCGAATTTAAGGTTTATGATTGCTTAAATATTCGCCAAAATAAATTTCTTTTTGATTATGAAGTTTGACGAAATTTTGAAAGATTGTTTATCGTAATATCTCTTTGTAGACAGAAAAGTATTATTCTTATTGTTATCATCATTATTATTATTATTGCTATTATCGTTATTTTTATTGTTGTTCTTGTTTTTGTTCACATTATCATCATTATCATTATCATTATTATCACCATCATTATCAGTCGCATTATTATTATCATTACTATCATCATTAGTATTATCATTATCATTATCATGAATATTATCATTATCATTACTCTTATCGCTATCATTTCACTTATTTCAATTTCATATATTTATTCATCTATTCATTTCTATAACGCTTTACTCTTTGACCTTTGCGACTCCTCGTAAACTATTCTCTTTATAATAACTCCTTTATTTCCATTCTATTTAAATCTTGCGTGTCATCTTATCATTTTATGCCCAATTAACTGTCACTTGATATTAATTGTCGTTGTTATTAACTTCCTTCCTTATATCCTTTTTAAAAAAAAAAAAAAAAAAAAAAACGAATTTTCTTAATATTTCGCGGTATCATTATCCGAATCTCAACGTATCGGCTTCGTCTCTGCTTTGTCACGTTCTTCCGTGATTTCCGAATCTGTCATGTCATTCAGGAAATGTTTAAAGCCAAAATGACAATCGTCTTCGTGACACAGCGCTCTGTTCGGTAATGTTCGGATGGCAAAACGCGATTTTTTCAACTGTCGGGAAGACAAGTCGGGAAGGGAATCGGACGAGTGGGATCATTGTTGCCAAGTGGCTATTGTTCTCCTTATTGTTATTATTATTATCATTATCATTAATATTGATATAATCATTATTATTGTTATTATTATCATCATTAACAACGTTATAATTTCTATTATTGATATTATTGTTATTATTAATTCCATTATTATTATCATTATCAAGATCATCATTATTATTTTTCTATTACTATTATCATTGTTATCATCATTTTCATCCTTATCATTGTTATCATTATTATTATTATTATTATTATTATTATTATTATTATTATCACTATTGTTATTATTATCATTATTATTATCATTATCATATTATTATTATTATAATTGTTATTATTGTTATTGTTATTATCATTATCATTATTATTATTATCATCACTAAAATGATAATAAATAATGATATGATAATGAATAATCATTATCATTATCATCATTATTATATAGTAGTATTACTATCATTATTACCATTATTGTCATTATTGAAAACTATCATCATCGTAATGATAATGATGATAACGATAGAATGATGGCAATAA